GGCTGCGTGGTGCTGAGTTGCCAGCCGGGTTAAACCATGACAAGTTGTTCATAACAGAAATTGCAGAGTAACTGATTAAGTGATTAATTTTCCTGAGAGAAAAAAATATGCTGACCTAAAGCTTAGTACAAATCTTTGAAGAAATTTGGTGGGTCAATCTCCTTCCATGTAAGAAGTTTTCACTAGAAAAAATGGAACAGGCAGTTCCATATGTTATTATTATTTTTCCTTTATCAGTAATTTTCCAATATTATATTGCCTGTGTAATTTCTCAGGTGGAAAATGGAGTAATAACAATAAAATTATTAGTAAACAAAGACAATGAAATGATAATATAAGGTATTTCTGTAAATGTAGCAGACTAGGGATTTGACTTATGCTTCTGAACACCTTGAAACAAATTAAACTTATCACATATATACCGAGTTCTGACTATGTATCAAAAAGCTCCTCACAAATTGGCTTTTGAGGTGAACTGAGGCAGTGCCACACACTCAGAATGTTTTGCTTCCCAGGATTTTGGATTCAGCCTTGGAAGAGCCATGCTTGTTGGCTCACTGACAGGGCAGGGAGACGGTGTTATCTCCCAGCATGCTTCTACCCACAAAAAAATGGAAGAGGCTGCAGAAGAGAAATGTACTGCTGATAGGCACGGTTTACAGAGAAGGGGAAAAAAAAAGATTGGTATATTTTACCCTGCATATGAATGAAAGAAAGGACCACAACCGGGATAGTATGTTTGTTTTGACCAGCTGAATATTGCTGCATTTAATTACATGTAATTTAACTATCATTCAACTGCCAAGGAATGTAAAGATGGGAAGTTTCTGGTTTAGAAAACTGCACCAAGTAGAAAACTGCATATTTACTTTCCTCAGTAAACAACATACAGGACTTATAAGAAACTAATTGTTCAGAAGGATCTCTAAAACACAGCTGCTATAATAGTCATTAAATCTTTGAAATAGTGACTATCAAAGGTTGTTAAATACTTAACTGGCCATGTTTTAGACCTTGGCTAGATCAAGTTTCGAAAAATACAGACATATCAGATTCATACCGTGGGTGAAGGTATTTGGAAAAAGCAGTTTGGAAAACAGAGTTATCTAAATAAAACATTAGGCAGTCAAAATACTTGGAAGGAAAAATGTCTCAGAGCTGAGAGCAGAGGAAAGATTCTAACAGTATTGATTGAAGCTTACTGCCATGGGATGATACGGTAAGCTTTTATGGGGAAGTTATATATATATGTATAAAAATAGATATAAAACTCTCATATATGTACATGTATATTTATCTATGTTTTATTCCTTCCTTGGGATGTGGAACATATGTTTAGGGCATAGAGAGACAGGGAGACCAAGAGAGGCAGAAGTTTTGTTCCTTCCTTGTGATTTAATCTGAAAATATTCAGACTAATTCTGTTTAGGAAAGTTTCACCTAGGGAAGTAAATAAACTTTTCACACAATTTTTTTACTGATATTCTTTAACAAGCTTGACTTTTGGAAATACCCTGTTGAATGTTGGAAAAATTCAGCAAGTCTTCTCCTTGAAGATAAGAGGTATCCCACAGTCATGTGAAGGAAAACATACGGAGCACAGGAACTGACCTGAAACTATCTCTTGGCAATCCAAATCTCTTCATAAACAATGGTTCTGTCTTTTGTGTGGCAATCCAACTGTTGACAAAACCTCAAAAGTACCAGTGGAGAAGTGAGAGCTGGAGGTTGTGGTCAGAATTGTGCTAATGATTGTTATCTCTACTGATCTTTTCACTTGTGCTCCACGCAGGAGGGTAGCTTTTAGAATACACTGAAAAAATGCAGTTGCAGAAGTGACATGTTCTGAGAGAGATCTGCTCTTGCTTTATCATACAGTTTAAAAGTTTTGCTGGGAGAAAGGACCTGAGGTTTAAGATGTAAGGCTGCTTTCAGAGGACCTCCTCTAACATTTGGCTATGATTCCTACCATAGCCTAGCTATGTACTTAGAAATGCAGGTCAAAAGAGCAGCCAAAGGTAAAAAAGTTGTATTAAAGATGCTTTTAGATAGCTTAAAACCTATGGATTATGTGTCGTGTTCCTTGACTGTTTGTAATAGACCAATTTGAACCTTGTTTGTGCATATTTAGATACTTTCTTGAATTCTTACCTACTCAGATGAGTAATCCTTTTGACTACAGTGAGTTTATTAGTATGGAACCTCATAGTCTGAATTATATGATTGGGCCACAGATACTTTGCTTTCTTCCCATCCCAGACTTCTATAATTTGTGTTCTTTGATCCAAAAGTTTATCTGGATCAATGCACTTTGTGATTTTGAAAACCTAAAGTGACTTATAAAAAAATCAAGCCCTCCCAGTGAAGATAAGACCACCCTTGCATTTCTTCACAATGTTTGTCTCCGATGCTTGATTTTGTTTTATTCACTTTGTGATGTTTCCATCAATATTGAGTGAGGCAACTTAGGTGTACACTTCTCAGGACTCCTACTTCCTCTGATTTTACCATACTCTCTTATTTGTCCATCTGATTTTCTCCTTCAGTGTAAATTTAGTGAGCAAACTGGTTTTTCCTCCACATAAATTTCTTCTTGCTTTTGTTATTATGCATAGATACAAATTGCCCTATTTTGTTTGTTCATTTCTTGATAAATAACTTCATATTGCTATACTTATTTTCATTTCTGCTAACTGATTTTCTTGTTTCTTTTTCTTCTTTAAAGTGTGTAGAAAAACAGTATATGATGATGTAAAGACTACCTATTAATGAATAAATGGAAGCAGAGCACAAACAGACTTAGAAGTGAAAACTTAAATACTGTTATTAATATGAATCCATGTCTGCAAAAAAACCTGTGACAAATTAAAATTAAGTGCTATGTACTATAAAATAGAATCATGAACCACTTCTACTTCAGGTCTGTCCTTTCTGACGTGAAGAGCACAAGAGTGATGGCAGAATTCAGTGTGACAATATAACAGTTGATCCTACAGCAGTAAAAATGTCTCATATCTTACCATTTCTTAATAAGGCTAGCAGGCCTTAATTTCCTCTGCTCAGGTGAATAACAAAACATCTTCTTCTGTATGCTGCAATATGAACAGCTTAGAAACTGAAGTGTGTTTAGTCAGAAAGTTGCAGTCTTTATTTTTAAATTTAGACATTCCAAAATTATCCATTTCAATCAAGTTTTACGATATTTTCTTTCCTTAGACTTCATTGACAGAGAGTAAACAACATTTCTTGTGTCACTAGAGGTTTTATTTAAAATTCAATTGCCAAACTATTTTCCTTAGAGAAATGTTCATGAAAAAATGGTTCTGTATATGACCACACTGTTCTACAAAGTTTATTATTATTATTTCCATTTAAATGGAATGTGCAAATTATGTAAACTTGCTTTAATACTATCATCTAGGGTACTTCAATGAGTAATATACAAATAAAATAAACAATGAAAGAAAGTAGATCAAACATTTATCTTTGTGGTTTTCCTTTCATTTCAATGTAACTATGCTTATATTTTCTCTAATTGGCATTTATCTTTTTGTCCCAGGCCTGTGAAAGCTGTGTAAAGAAGCTCACTAACTCCATTCCTTCCATTAAAGAAGCCAGACTACTGTTAGGAGAATGTACTGGAAACTTCCCTGAGTTTTCCTTTCTGTTCTGATTTCAAATATTTAGGCATGGGTGTTTGGGAAAGAGAAGATCTGAGTTTGTGTACAGTTACATCAGCTACCTTAACTAGCTGTTTGGATGTCCTGCTAGGTCTTTTCTTGACAAATACCAGCTGTGTCCATGCAAAAGAAGTAGTTGTTTCATTCAGCACTATGCCTTTAGAAACCTTATTAACCTAAGTACAGGAACGTTGCATATGTTATCTGCACCCTTTGACTGGCAGAAACAAGGGCTGGATTTAATTTCTACTTGTCATTATTAAATGCTGTTGGAAAACTCATGAGAAGTTGTGGAAATTACTACATGAAACTGACTGAGTGTTCAATGAACTATTCGTTTCCACTGACAGGTGATGAATCAAATGTCCTTAATTAAATAGCATGTTAGGGGAGAAAGGAGTGAAAACGATACTAAGAGGACAAACAGCATAACATGAGACAAGCAGTCACTCTTTTCCTAAAGAAAACAATGATGGTTTCAAGCACTCCTTTCTCATACTTATGAAAGACAACTGACAAGTCTGCTGGTTGCTTTCTACTGCTTATAGTGTCTCCTTGCGTTATCTACCCAGCAAGACTTCATATATTGCTCATTTCCTATATCAACTCTTCTTTTCCACTGGCCTTCCTGCTTCTTCAAGGGTTTTTGCTCTTCAGAAGGAATACCACAACTTGTAGGCCCATCTTCAGCTCTCGACTGACAGAAAAAAAAGTCTTAATCTGGAAAGTTTTGCATGCCAAAGCTTCAGGTTGTAACATTGGAAATTTACTCATTCCAGGCACATTTTTAGCACCATTAACTTGCCCAGAATTGCACATAGGGCAAACATGCCCATAAAATATGACTAAGTATAAATATGGTGGAAACATAAAATGCAGAATGAACAAGTTTCAGTGACTGCTTTTTTTCAGTTCCCCTTCTGTACACCAGATGCCTAGAGCTTTCTTACAACTTGGGCTTCTAACCCCACTGGTTTCTCTGGGGATCAGTACACTGCCTTAGGCCTCATCTGCCTTTTTACAGTTTGAAACTGAGGCACTACAAAATTATATATTCAGCCCAAAGTCACTAGAATTCATGGCGGAGAGAAACAATAGATCCTGGTTTCGTATTCTGGTGTCTTAAGCAAAAAACTCATTGACTGGAAATTTCAGCATTATTGGTCCAAAAATAAGCTAGCAAGACCTAACTAAATGAGACACACTAACCAAAAATTGGTATTTATACAGAATAGGTTTGAAAATAATTTTGAGATTGAAGATATACTTTTAAAGTAAATATGGTGACTGACATATTTTTTTTAATCAGAGAGAGAAAACTTGTGAAAGAGCGATTCAGATAAACTATATCAACACAGAGCAACAAATTATTTTCTCTTTTTTTTTAATGTAAGGCAACCACTAAAATTGGTAAAGTTAATGTATTATACAGTCTAACTCTGTAAATTGTCTTTAAAAAGGGATTATTCAGGGTAGGACTAAATCCTGCCCCTTGGCACTCACATATGACATTCATTCATACCACTTTTTGAGAAACATTTTCCACTGGATTTTTGAAAGAAAAGGAGTATTTAAATTTAGTCACTGTTTATGTTCCATTTGTAATTATTTTATTTTGCAGAACAGGTCAAAACTAAAGAAAATATCTTAAGCTCATGCATTTACTGTTCATCTTTCATCTCTCATCTGTATAAATGGAGGCTTCATAATTTCAGAATTTATTTCTGGGACCAGTAAGTCAAAGAAAGCTGGTAGTCTGGAGGGAGAAAGTCTCTTAGTTCCAACTAAAATGCACAATCCACACTCATTAAAATAAAAATGATTGGATTTTTTTTTCAAAGAAAAGGACTGATGTTTGGGTTAAGCCTCCTGTGGGAAGATCTAACTTCCACACTTACTATTTATGGGGATTTTCAAGCTCAATTTACTTACCTATTCAATAAGGGAAAGTAATTGTTATCCCAGTCTTTTCATTACATGATGCAAATGCTATCTCTACAGTACAGAAATGCTTCTTCAAATTGGATGTCAGAATATAGGGTTTATTCTAGTAGTTTGAACATGCGTTTAAGGGACATTTCATCTATTTTCAATGAACAGCATTTTTCTGAGCTTGTTTTTTTATCAGTTTTAAAACAAATAATTATATGGAAGACTGAAATATGAGGGGAATAAAATGAATACAGGGCATAGCTGGTTTATCTATGATTTGCTACTTACTTCAGGGTTCTCTTCCATATATTGATTTTTTTTTCTGAACGGCAAATCCAATTCTTTGTAGTACAACTGAGTATAGGTATGTGGACTAATGGGCTGCTTCTATATCAGTTGTGGTGCAAGGCAAAAGACTCTCACCACTGATTTGCAGATGCTGACCTAAAGGGAGCACATTGGTATATTTTCCTAGGGAATGAGATATGCTGTTCTGCTTACAACAAGCTCTAAACTCCAATCAACTGAAAATATGATTTCTCTGGTAATTTCTGGAGAAATTGTGATCCAGGACAAGAAGAAAAGAAAAACAGTGAGTTCAAAGCCAGGATGACTCTTTTAGAGCATCTGGATGTCACGTAGACAGCCCTGAGGACAGCTCCAGGATGAAAGGGATGCAAATGTGTTCTGGAGCCACTACTGTATTCCCTGATTCCCTGTGGTCTACAAGAGAGGGTATCAGTGCATCAGTCCCACTGCTTCTGCCAGAAGCTGTCATGTGGTGGGTACAAGTATGGTATATTAGAGGATATTTGGATATGAGATCTGGAAGACAGGAGGCATGAGTTAATCTTGATTCACAGAGGTCCATAAGAACATAGATCAAATGCACAACAGCTCTTACTCACTTACCCCTCTGCACTTGGGTGAAATGAAAATGACCTGGCCTGCTTTTATGAGGTGGTCTGCTTTTATGAGTTGGGAACTTGCCAGATGAGTATAAACTACATTTCTGTACCAGTTCTATTTAAAAACTTCATTTATTCTTTCATCTTTTCACTGTCTTTAATAGTCATAAACCATGTATTCGTGTTGTAGTTCACTGCTTGAAGTGATTGATTGTCTTCAATAGGTTCTGCAATTACTTTTACCAATAAATATAGATATGGAGAACAAATACAGAGACACCTCTACTGTGGCTGCTAACATTCTGAACTATCTTTGAATTTTAACAGAACAGCAGAGAACACCTGCCCTGAACACCAGTTTCATGTGCAGCTGATAGAAAACCCCTCACATGACACAGATCCAGGCACTGCAGGAAAACAAAGATGCAAAATGAACTCTCATTATTTATCCCCTATCTAGTCCTGTACTAGGGATGCTAATATAGATTGGAAAGGTGTAAAAACCCTGCCCTCAAACAGAGAGAAATGTGTTATAACAGATATCTGTGCCTCTTCTTTGGAGGTACTGAAGGATCTCTGCTGGATGAGTTCCGAGACCTAAAGGGTTTTTCTGTAAATAGGTCTGCTCGGTGTGATTGAGCATCCATGACCTTCCATGATTAAAAAAATGTTAAAGAATGTTCAAGTTTCTGTCTTTGTCAAGTGGTGAGTAAATAATAGCTCAGACTTTCCTTGCTTGCCACCTATACTCCCACACAGATTTATCTCTACCTTTGGTTGAAGGAGAAAGACATAGTATCTTATCTGTCCCTAAGAAAGTCAATGCACAAGGGATTTTTATGATACAAATGCAGAAAAATACCATCAATATATTAGGAGGGTAAAAATTCCTGGGCTGTAATAAAATTAAATGGAATCTGTATCACCTCCTGCCCTGTCTTGCTATTGACAAATAGGTTGGATCAGCTTAAACGACCACTGGTGTCATCTCTATCTGCTTACTGTTCTTCAAGAAAAATGTCTTGCTGAGATAAATGATTGCTATCTCCTTCAGAAAGGCAGGGAAGATAAAAATAAAGAAAAAACCCCCCATATTAAATCTTTTAAACTGCTGTAGGCAGTAAGAATATCTTATGGAAATTTTCTTAACCTCCTTTGAAAGTAGTGAAAATGCACAGATTTGAATGCCTGTTCCGTAAGCAAGATAATTGACTATTTAGATTGAAGAACTTATTCTGAGAAATCTGTAGCTGTGAGAAAGCTGATTCTGAAACAAAGGTGTAAAGCAGAGCTTCTCAGCATTGTGAGAGCAGCCCTCTGTGTACTAATGACAAGGTCTGGTGAGAAAGTGTAGAATTATATTTTTTTTGTCATTGTCTGTGGGTAATGCAGCTAAAATGTGATGTTTTTCCTCATTATCACTTCCAACCCCCTCAAGCCAGTGTGTCATTCCACCCATCCTCCCAATTTTTGAACATTATACAGTACACAACAAATGAGGTGAAGAAAAAAAAACAACCAGCATCCATCTAGGCACTCCTATAGTAAAGGTGGTCTTAGGAGTTCTGCTATGTAAAGGATGTACAGTGATTTCTGTGGCTTTCCAGTGGTCCACCAAAGAGACATGTTGTAATGGCAGGATGGGTTGCTGGATCTAGTACTTGGCTTTTCACCTTGTCTTAAACCTTCCCATAACAGAGTTTTGTAGTCTCAAATCATTCCCTCCTGAGAGATTACAGTTTTAATCTTTAAAACTGCTATATCTGATTTAACATTTTCAACTGTTTGACTTTCTTTTTCATGGAAGGAAAAGCTGGA